GTTAGCTGAACTGGATTAATTTTAGGTGGGTGTAGGTGTTAATTAGGTTGGGATTAACTAAGTTTGGCTCATTTGAGGTGGGTTTACTTGTTAATCAGGTCGGGATTAGCTAAATTTGGCTCATTTGAGGTGGGTTTAGCTGTTAATTAGGTCGGGATTAACTAAATTTGGCTAATTTGAGGTGGGTTTACTTGTTAATCAGGTCGGGATTAGCTAAATTTGGCTCATTTGAGGTGGGTTTAGCTGTTAATTAGGTCGGGATTAACTAAATTTGGCTAATTTGAGGTGGGTTTACTTGTTAATCAGGTCGGGATTAACTAAATTTGGCTTCTTTAGGGTGGGTTTACTTGTTAATTTGGTCGGGATTAACTAAATTTGGCTGCTTTTAGGTGGATTTACTTGTTAATTAGGTTGGGATTAGCTAAAATGGGCTTCTTTCAGGTGGGTTTACTTGTTAATGAAGTCGGGATTAGCTACATTGGATTAATTTTAGGTGGGTTTACCTGTTAATAAGGTTGGGATTAGCTAAATTTGGCTCATTTGAGGTGGGTTTACTTGTTATTTTGGTCGGGATTAGCTAAATTTGGCTTCTTTTACGTGGGTTTACCTGTTTATTAGTTCGGGATTAGCTAAATTTGAATAATTTTAGGTGGGTTTACTTGCTAATTAGGTCAGGATTAACTAAATTTGGCTCATTTGAGGTGGGTTTACTTGCTAATTAGGTCGGGATTAGCTTGATTTTTGGGTGGTTTTAGGTATTAATGAGGTCGGGATTAGGTAAATTGTCTTAATTTAGGTGGTTTAAGGTATTAATTAGGTCAGGATTAGCTGAATTTGGCTCATTTGAGGTGGTTTTGCAGATTAATTAGATCGGAATGACCTAAACATGTTTTATTTAAGGTTGTTTTGCGTGTTAATTAGGTCGGGATTAGCCAAATTGGGCTTGATTGCGGTTGGTTTTGTCTCGGCTCCTCAGCCCCCGTGTGGAGAACAGGCAGGAATTGCAGGTGGGAAACTGGGAGCTGTGGGAATCAGGCAGGGAAACTGGATTGTTGGGAAGCAGGAGCAGGGAGGGAAGCAGGAGCAGGGAGGGAAGGAGGATTGTTGGGAAGCAAGAGCAGACAGGAGAGCTGGGTTGTTGGGAAGCAGGTTTGTTGGGAAACTGGATTGTTGGGAAGCAGGCAGGGAAGAAGGGAAGCAGGATTGTAGGGAAGCAGGGAAACAGGTTGGGAAGGAGGAGCAGGCAGGGGAGCTGGATTGTTGGGAAGCAGGAGCAGGCAGGGGAGCTGGATTGTTGGGAAGGAGAGAAGGAAAGCAGCAAAGCTGGATTGGTGGGAAGCAGGGAAGGAAAGCAGCAAAGCTGGATTGGTGGGAAGCAGGGAAGGAAAGCAGCAAAGCTGGATTGGTGGGAAGCAGGCAGGACTCACATGAAGCTGCTGTTGCAGTCGGTGCCATCGATCCATTTCCACTGCCCCTCCTCATCCTGGTCCGTCAGGCCGATCCAGAACCGCTCGTTCCGTGTCCGGAACATCAGGAAGTTCTGCAGGGGGAACAGGATCAGGGGGAACAGGATCCCAAGGGGCCAACTCGGGGCCTTCTTGGGAATTGGGCTCTTAATTAACTCATTGCTGATGGGGAAGAGAGAGGTAGGCAGGTGCCAGGGAGGAATTGGGCCTGTCATTAATTAATCAATGTGGAAAAGTGGGATAGGCAGGTGCCAGAGAGGAATGTGGCTGTTAATTAATTAATTAGTGTGGAAGAGTGGGATAAGTAGATTCCAGAGAGGGATCTGGCTATTAATTAATTTCCAATCAGGAAGACCAGGATAGGCAGGTGCCAGAGAGGAATCTGGCTGTTAATTAATTAATTAGTGTGGATGAGTGGGATAAGTAGGTTCCAGAGAGGAATCTGGCTATTAATTAATGATTTTCTAATCAGGAAGAGCAGGATAGGCAGGTGCCAGAGAGGAATCTGGCTATTAATTAATTAATTAGTGTGGATGAGTGGGATAAGTAGGTCCCAGAGAGGGATCTGGCTATTAATTAATTAGTGTGGAAGAGTAGGATAGGCAGGTGCCAGAGAGGAATCTGGCTCTTTAATTAATTAATTTCCAATCAGGAAGAGTGGGATAAGTAGCTTCCAGAGAGGAATCTGGCTCTTAATTAATTAATCTCCAATCAGGAAGAATTCCACCTGGGAAATCCCTGGTGGTATCAGAGCAGGTTCTGCTGCTTCCCAGGATCCCAACCTTGGGAAAGGCCTCAAGTGGCTCCTCTAGTTGATCCCACCCATGATTCCCTCCATCCTAAAGAAGATTCCAGCCATTCCCAGTATTCCCAGTGGGAAGTGGGATCTTTATTTTTTTACCTGCTTGGAGAAGCTGTTGATGATGGTCAGGTGGGAATGCATCTCCTCACATTGAGCCTTGGCTTTGTTCCAGCTGGTTTTGCTCAGGGAGAAGTAGTAACATTTCCCATCAAAATATTCCCATTGCCTGGAATCTGGGCCGCAGGGAAACACTGGGAGGAAGGAAAACCAAGGGGGAGGGGGAGTCGAGTCTGGGTGGTCACCAAGGTGGCATCTAGAAAAGCTTTTCCCACCAGGAAAATCATGGAATCATGGAGTCGTGGAGTCATGGGATCATGGAATTATAAAATCATGGAATCACAGAATTATGGAATGATAGAATTATGGAATCATGGGATCATAGAGTCATGGGATCATGGAATTATGGAATGATAGAATTATAGAATCACAGAATTATGGAATCATAGACATGGAATCATGGAATGATAGGATTATGGAATCAGAATTATGGAATAATGGAATCTCATAATCATGGAATGATAGAATTATAGAATCACAGAATTATGGAATCATAGACATGGAATCATGGAATGATAGGATTATGGAATCAGAATTATGGAATAATGGAATCTCATAATCAGGGAATCATGGAATGATGGAGTTATGGAATCATGGAATCATAGAATTATTGAATGATAGAATCACAGAACCATGGAATCATAGAATTATGGAATCACAAAGTCATGGAATCACAGAATCATGGAATCATTGAGGTTAGAAGGGAGTTCTGGAGATCACTGAGGCCAGGAACACCCAGGAACATGTCCAGATGGGTCCTGGAAGCCTCCAGAGCAGGAGACTCCACAGCCTCTCTGGGCAGCCTGGCCCAGGGCTCTGCCACCCTCCCAGGAAACAACTTCCTCCTCCTGGGGAGCTGCAACTTCCCATGTTCCAGCTGCTGCCCATGGCCCCTTGTCCTGGCCCTGGGCACTGCTGAGAAGAGCCTGGTCCCCCCCTCCTGCCCCCCTGGAGATCTGGAGCAGCCTTGAGGAGACCCCCCCTCAGGCTCCTCCTCTCCAGCTCCACAGCCCCAGCTCCCTCAGCCTTTCCTCATGGGCCAGATGCTCCAGTCCCCTCAGCCCCTTGGTGGCCTTTGCTGTCCCCTCTCCAGCAGCTCCTTGTCCTTCTGGGGAGCCCAGCCCTGGACCCACTTCTCCAGATGGGCCCTCACCAGAGGGGCAGAACCTCCCTGCCCTCCTGCCCACACTCTCCTTGATGCCCCCCAGGATTATGTTCATCCTTGAGATGATTCAACCTGAGATCCAATTTTAGGGAATCATTTTGGGAAAATGAACCTGGTGGGATTGGGAGAGGAGACCAGAACTTACGGAGAAGATCCCGGTTGGAAAAGTTGTGGTTTGGTTCTGGTTTCACCTCGTTGAGTTTGGAGGAAACGGCGGAAACTGGGAGGGAACAAAGAGACGTCGGGTGGGAAATTGGCTCCTGTTTTAGGTATTTTTAGTGGTTTTTTATAATTTTATCTATTGTTTATGTTTTCCTGGAGCTGTTTTTCTATTTTTTGGTATTTTTTAAGATGTTTTACATATTTTATAGGTGGTTTTGCTATAGTTTAATCTATTTCTACATGGTTTATCTGCGTTTTATTTCCGTATTTTGTGGTATTTTGAGATTATTACTTCATATTAATTCACATTAATTCATATTATAGAACATGATAATGTGTCATTCTATTATTATAACATGATATTATATCATATTGCATTGTGTCCTATTATATTAGTTCTATATTTCATAGATATTATATATAAATAGATATATTTTATACATGTATAGATAGATTTTATAAATAGGTTGTTTATAAATATACATTTTTAACATATTTTATATAGTTTTATAAATCTACTTTGTCATTTCTTCTATTTTATCATCTTTTAAATGTCTTATTTTTATAATTTCAGATTTTTTTACATGTTTAATGTACTTTTACAGATATATTTTCAAGATCTAGTTGATAGATCTATTTTGTATCTTTATATATTGACATATTTTATAGCATTTTATAGATTGAATTGATAGATATTTATCCATTTTTACACATTTTATAAAGGTTTTATTTCTATATTTCAATATCTTTTTCTGTTTTAACTCTACTTTCTATTTAATATATTTATGGGTGTGTTTTATAGATCTAGATTTCTATCTTTTATATTAATATTTTATATAGAAAACCGATATGTTTCTATGTATTTTATATATAAAATAGATATATTTCTATTTATTTTATACATAAAATGTGTTTCTATTTATTGTATATATAAAATATGTGTTTATTCTATATATAAAATATGTTTCTATTTATTTTATATATAAAATAGATATATTTCCATGACTTTTATATAAAAATAGATATATTTCTATATATTTTATAGATAAAATTTATATATCCATACATTTAATATATATAATATACATATGTCCATATATTTTACATATAAATTATGTATATTTCCATATACCTAATATATAAAATATATATTTCTATATTTTTTATTTTAATAGATCAACTTTAGAAAAATTGATCCATTTTTACACCTTTTCAGTGTTTTCTTTCTCTATTTTAATGTCTATTTTTACTATATTTTCTCTATTTATCGATCGATTTTCTAGACAAATTTTACATCTTTCTCTAAATTCAACCCTTTCCTCTCTTTTTATTTAGTTTTATAGATGAAATGGATCCAATTGGATCTATTTCTACACATTTTAAATCTCTTTGGCTTCCATATCTTTAATTTCTTGATGTATTTTAGTCACCGATTCACGATGTTTTGCTCTTTATTCCCCATTTTAACCCATTTCCAAACCCTTGGAGACCATCCAGGAGCTCCTCAGGTCATCCCACCTTCTGGAATCTGATCCCACCTTCTGGAATCTGAACCTCATCCCTCTTGATCCCACCTCCCCAACCCCAAGGTCTCCTGGTACCTTTGGAGAGGGACACGGCGAAGAGGGTGAAGATGAAGAAGAAGGAGACACCCAAGAGCAAGTAGACAGTGAAGAAGGATCTCAGCCTCTGCTGGATGAAGCTTCTGTCTTTAAAAGGGAAAACAAACCCCCAGGAGATGTGGAAACATTCCCCTGGGATCACTGGGACCTTTTCCCAAGCTCCTCTGGTTAATCAATGACCTGGAATTGTTAATGATTTGCTAGAGAAGCTCAATTCTTGGTGATGGTTCCTGTTCCTCAAGTGACCATTTGTGGTCTGGAGGGTTCTTGGCTGGTCCCAGCTGGCATCAAAGGTCCTTCTGGGGCACCTTGGAAGGTCCACCCTTGGGTTGGAAGGTCCACCCTTGGGTTGGAAGGTGAGATGGACTTGGGACAGCTCCAGGAAGAGCCAAATTTCACACAGGTCCAGGACATTTCCAAGGCTGAAGCCTCTGAGGTGGTGCTGGTTGGACACCACCAGCTTCCCACCACCACCACCAGCTTCCCACCACCACCACCAGCTTCCCACCACCATCCAAACCTCCACCCCAGGGATGAGCTGATCAAGGTGGGCTTCCCCATCCCAACACACCAACCCCGATCCATTTCACCAAGACCATCAACCTGCTCTGGTTGAAGATCCCCCTGCAGGGTTTTTTGGACTTGGGTGACCTTGAAAGGTCCTTCAACCCAAACCATTCCATGGTGGATTAGCCAAGTTGCCTGAGGAGAGGAGGAAGGAGACCATGGACCTTCCTCTTCCTCAGAAGACCAGTGGTGGAGGAAGACCATGCTCTGTGACACCCTCATCACCCTCTTTGCTCCTGCCCATCTCCAGGAGGTGGGTTGAAGGTTGATGTTGTACCTTTAAAAACACGCAGATCATCATGAAGATGTTCCTCATCCATCCTGGGAAGCTTTGGTTGGAAGGAAGAAGAACTTGAGGTCCAAGGAAGCAGAAGCTTTTCCAACCAGGATCTCAGGAATTCCAGAAGTTCCACCAACTCCAGGGATGTTCAATTCCACAGGTTATAATTTAACCAGGAGGGGTTTGGTCTGTGTTTTTTTGAGGTGGTTTCTTATTGGTTTGTCCTCTCAAAATACCAACTTGGAACGTGGCCACTTCCAACATTCCACCTGTCTGGAGGTCTCTGCTCCAGAGAGTTTTGGTTTTAACTCATCCTGGTCCCTTGGGAGTGAAGAAAAAAACACAAAGGGGGGGAAATTCCCAAGTTCTTGAAGGTGTTTCCTCCAAGTGTGGAAATGAGGAGGTTTGGAAATGGACTTTGGTGGTTGGGAAGAGGAACCAAAAGGTCAGGTTGGGTTGTTGTCGTTGTGGAGTCACTGAGTGGTGGGGTGGGCAGGAAGCTCTGGAGATCATCAATCCAACCCCCCTGGAGAGCAGGGTCACCTCCAGCAGATCCCACAGGAACCAGCTGGGCTGGGAATGTCTCCAGAGCAGGAGACTCCACAGCCTCTCTGGGCAGCCTGGCCCAGGGCTCTGCCACCCTCCCAGGAAACAACTTCCTCCTCCTGGGGAGCTGCAACTTCCCATGTTCCAGCTGCTGCCCATGGCCCCTTGTCCTGGCCCTGGGCACTGCTGAGAAGAGCCTGGTCCCCCCCTCCTGCCCCCCTGGAGATCTGGAGCAGCCTTGAGGAGACCCCCCCTCAGGCTCCTCCTCTCCAGCTCCACAGCCCCAGCTCCCTCAGCCTTTCCTCATGGGCCAGATGCTCCAGTCCCCTCAGCCCCTTGGTGGCCTTTGCTGTCCCCTCTCCAGCAGCTCCTTGTCCTTCTGGGGAGCCCAGCCCTGGACCCACTTCTCCAGATGGGCCCTCACCAGAGGGGCAGGAGAACCTCCCTGCCTTCCTGCCCACACTCTCCTTGGTGCCCCCCAGGAGCCCATGGGCCTTCTTGGCCACCAGGGCCCATTGATCCCTCATGGATCACTTCTTGGCCACCATGATCCCAAAGTCCTTCTCCATGGACCTGCTCTCTAGCAGGTCCCCTCACCCTGTGCTGCTCCCTGGGGTTGTTCCTCCTTGGGTGAACCCCTTGGAGAACCTCAGGAGGTTCTTCCCACACTTCAACTGCCCTTAACTGGGTTTCATTCTCCCTTTCTCTTCACCCAGAGGGCACCTCCAGTTTTAATTACCTAATTACTCCAGCGTGATGAAGACCAAGAGGTAATTATGAAGCCAGAAGCTCTGGGAGAAGCTCCAAACTGGAGCTGGGGAGGGGTTTGATGTTGTTTATTTGCCAAAAAATGACATTGAGGAACCAAAATAACCCCCAGGAGGTCAGGGCAGGGAGACCCGTCGTTAAGGGGATTTCATCACCTCCCCACTGGGACCAGCTGAAATTCCAAAGGTTTGTTGGGATAAACTGGTTGGAGAAGAAGGGAAAGGTGGGGTGAAAAGAGGTGGATGTGGAAGGAGAAACCCCCACCAAAAAAGGCTCCTGGCCTGAGGGAGGGGGGGGAAAAAACCAGGATAAGGAACTGGGAAACCAATTGACATCCCACTTTTGGTCTGGAGGAACCTTCAGGAGATGTTGGGAGGAGCCCTCAGGAGGATCCAGGAATGTTGTTGGAGCTCCTTGGAATTCCAAGTGTGTCCCTTCATGACCCATTGGGATTGAGGGGTTGATGAAATGGGGGGAAGAACCAGATGGACCCACCTGGAGGGGGTTGAGGTGGCCATGTCACCACCTGAGGACACCACTGGGTGTCCAACCCTTCCCAGATCCTGGAGTTTTTAGTTGCAGCCTAAAAAACCCACAAATCAACCCAAAAAAAAGTCATAAATCCAAAAGGATTTTTATTTAATAAATACAATTAATTGATTTAGAAACATCTTCAAGTTGCCTCGATGACCCGAGAAGAACGACGATGCGACGTCCAGGAGAAGACCAAGAGTAATCCCCAAAAAACCAGAAGCTCTGGTACATTCAGCCACGGAATTTCTTCCCTGTTGGGAATTTGGAGTGGACAGACTGGGAGGGTGAAACAATCCCAGTTAGTGATTAACTGGAAGTTTGGGATCTGGGGCTGCTGGATTGATTTTCCAGCAGCTGCTGGAATTTGGCCCTCGTGAAGGTCACTGCCTGGAGGTTGAACTTCTGCTCTGCTCCTCCAGGGGGGTTCCCAGAGGGAACTGCTCCTCAAATCCATGGAAAAAGGAGGATCCTTCCCAAAAAGACTTCTCAGCGAAGCTTTTGGCCCCACCAACCCCTTCCTGGCCCCACCAACCCCTTCCTGGCCCCACCAACCCCTTCCTGGCCCCACCAACCCCTTCCTGGCCCCACCAACCCCTTCCTGGCCCCACCAACCCCTTCCTGGCCCCACCAACCCCTTCCTGGCCCCACCAAACCTTCTAGACCCCAACCCAAAAGAAAAACCCACTTTGTCCCAAACATCCATCCAGGAAAACTGATTTTCCCTAAAAAAAGGAGCAACTGAGGCACCAAAATGAGTGGCAAGACCTTCAGGCTGCACCTCAAGGGGCAGGTGAGACTTTACAGTGAGGTAAAATCGCCCGAATTGTCTTTATTGCGTCACCTCCAAGGTGAGTTGGACTCAACTGGAGGTTCCTCAGCCGAGGCAGCGCTTGGCACAAGGTGACGACGTCTCCAGGAGGAATTTTGTCATCCAGATCCAGGATCAAGGTCTCCAGGTGTTGCAGGATGGTTAAATGAGCCAGGCCCTGGTTGGTGAGGGAATGAGCTTGGCCGATCTCCAGGAATTTCAGGCACTTCACGAACCGGGAGACGGATTCCACGGCGGAGTCGCCGACGCCGCAATCCCGAAGCACCAGGAATTCCAACTTTTCCAAGTGTGGAGCTGCTCTTTGGATCCCAGAATCCGTGACACGGTAAGTCCCTTGAAGGGACAGAGATCTGAGGTGACTCCAGGTGGCCACGTTGAGAAGGTGCCGATCAGAGAAGGCGGGAACGTTGAGCAGCACGAGCCGCTCCAAGCGCGGCGCCGCTTTCCCGCCGAACCAGGAGGTGGGAATTTCGCAGCGTTCCAAGCTCAGCTCGGTGAGGGAAAGGGGGAGGTGGGAATAGGGAACGGGGCGGAGGTCGGTATCCAGGAGGGAAAGGTGTTGGTTGGAGCTCCTTGGAATTCCAAGTGTGGCCCTTCATGACCCATTGGGATTGAGGGGTTGATCAAATGGGGGGGAAGAACCAGATGGATCCACCTGGAGGGGGTTGAGGTGGCCACGGGGTGGTTGTCACCACCTGAGGATACCACTGGGTGTTCAACCCTTCCCAGATCCTGGAGTTTTTAGTT